TGAAGTGAAATAGCTTCATGCACAGCATGCAGCCTGCATACCGGGAGGGGATTACTTTTTATGAGCAGAAGTGGAATAAAAAATTCTTTAAATTAAGCCCAGACATAGAAAATGAAGAAAGGCTGCAAAGGGGCTCATCCCTCAGGGAGTGTCAGCCTTGGAAGGTTGGGGAAGGCCCAGCTGTGCCCCAGCAGCTGGTACCCCATGGACTCTGAAAGAAATTGGACCTGGCCCCCCACTGCGATATTACGGGGGCTGTTTGCAAAGTGGGGGGGCTGGTCCTCATTCAGTTGGATAGTGACATTTGGATTCCACTTGGCTGCATTTCAAGTGCACATATTGAAAATTACATCCCTCAGCAGTGGGATGAAGTTGCCATCTTGAATGGAAGAAGGTCTATTTATAATGACTTTGTAGATATTTTTAAAGGCCAATAAAAGAAAAAAGTGTGACAACTGGCCCATGTCTAATGTGACAAACAATGCTTCATAGGTTTTGATTGGGAATAACCACATTTCAGCATAGCACAGGTGCACGGTCCCACGACAAGAAAGCAAGGCTCCAGTGTTACACCAACATCCCCATTTGTCACAACTACAAGAATTTTCAGAATAAAGAAAAAACCCAGAATTTAGGCTATAATTGAGGTTAAAAATATCCTGGTTCACTCTGTAGCCTGTCTACTGATATTTTGAGTGAAAGCTTGCCATGGCAGAAGACTGCTCCTCTCCTCCCTAAGAAGCGCCTGATGTATTCAGAAACACACATAGGGCCATTAACCAGCATGATTTAGGGTCATCTCTGATCTCTCAGAACAGCAGTGGAACCAGATGCCCTGTTTACCTCTCCCTTCTGGGCTACTTTGGATACAATAAATGGCCACAGTAAAATATGGACTAGTCCTGCTTTCAGTGAGGTCAGCATAGCCAAACTACTATTGATTGTGAAGGGAAGAAGACCAGACCCTCTTTACTATGAGTGTTCAAGCTAATTAATCACTTATGAGCTATAAAAGTCAAACAAACAGCTTCATGAAAATACATTACTAGTGAGCTCTGTTCAGAATTTTCCTTTTATCCTTTTGGTAAAATACATGTTAGAGCATTCTTATCGGATGCCTTCTGAAACGTAGCATTTGTGGGAATACTGCATTGTCTGAAGTACCAAGACATGTTGCATGGGTCGAGTGCTTGATCTGTATTCACCAGCAAGCAGCAGCAGATGAGCAAACAGCTATGGCACCTTTTTAGGGCATCTGCAGTTCTTCCAAGATGACTGCACCTGCAAACCAGCATTGCAACTGTGAAAATCTGAAATGCATTCTGTGCAAGGGCTGTGGTAGAACGACACTAATTCTGAGAGTACCATGAAAAATGTGGTAGTGATGAGACTGTGTTGCCCCAGTGTTTGGAAAACACCATGCTTCTGCCTTGGGGAAGGAGGGCAAAGGTGGAGGGTTTCTCAGGTTTGGGAGCATGACCACCATTTTCAACAGGCCAAGACATCATCCCTAATATTTCTTCACCACCTTTTCCTAAGTTGCATCCTGCTGTTCTTAAACTATGTGACCTATCAATGAAATATAGTCACCTTTATCTCATCTACAGATAGTCAACTCTAGTCTCACCTATGGCAGGTACCCCCGTGCACAGGGGGAATCCCACACCAGCAGAAACCACTTCCCAGCGGTGTGAGTTACACCGGATGACAAGGCAGATACTCGGGCTCCACCCCGATGCTGTGAAATGGCCTAATGCAGACTTCAGCCTCCTTGCCCCTCTCCTCCTCTGGAGATGCTGGTTTTCACTGTTTTTAATGTGCATGGTGCTGCCTCTGTGTGCTGCTGGTTTTTCCTCAGTGCACTACTGCATCGTTTTCAGTGTCTGGAGGAGTGCTTGGACCTCCAGAGGAGGCAAGGCCACCTTCAGAAGTCTCTTGTCTGCTTGGCCAATGAATAACTAAGATACATAAGACAGGCAGTTTATTTATTTACAGGTTCTTCAGTGACACTTATCATGGCAGCATCATAGCGATATGCTAACGGGTGGTGAAGCAGCCCTGTCCTGATGGCTGGCCCATCCCAGGGAAACCTCTGCAGTGGCCACCACCGTGTTGTGGAGCGGACGACAGCCGACATGCCACAGTGTAGGGAGAGGAGCCAGTGTTCTCCCCCAGCCCTGCCTACATGCTCCCGGAGCAGCGTGCTCCTGCCTTTCCACTCTTAGGGGTCCGGAGGCTGCCGAGTTGCAGGGGGTGGTGGCATCCTGTGGTGTTTCCTAAAAGAATACAGCTGAAGGAGTTTCTGGTTTACTAACTCTGGTGTGGAGAAGAGAACGCCCTGTCTCTTGACCCTGAGTTACATGTTAAATATCTGACCACCATTTTGCACAGCCTGGCAACCCAAAGGACTAGCTGCTGTGGGGGCAGCGCTCAGGACAGGGCATGTGTGGAGGAGGCAGGACTATGGAGACTTCATCAAAAAAGACAAGAAAAAAATTGGACAACACTGTCCGACTTGCAGAAGCTGCCAGAAATTGATGGATTGCTCCAACTCGCTGTCGGTTGGGTCTGGGGAAATGGCCGTGAGCTGGAGCACACAAGATGCTGCATCCCATAGACCCCCTTGTCCCCGGGCATTCCCGTCACTACCCGGCTGCGTGGTGTTTGATTCAAAGAGTTGCCCATAGATAAGGAAGGCAGCCGGGAGCAGCTCTGCCTGCTCAGACCCATGCACAGGCCTTTTAAGTGTTGTCAGTGAAATGACGGCCAACACGCCGCTCGCTTCTGCAACTGCAGAAATGGTGCTTTACAAGTTCAGTCTTTGGGAACTGCCTTTTAAGTTAGGTTTTCTTATTTGTCTCTGAAACAAACTTGGTCCCTTTCCAGCCTGGACAGAATGTAAAGTGGGAACAGTTATGAATGCTCTTCATTTTTTGGTGACTTTTTTTCTAAAGGAACAGGGAAAGCCAAAGTACCAGAGAAAATCCTACCTTATGCAGGATATGTTCTTCTCTCTTCTCTATTGCTGAATTTAGTACAGGTATGCTAGAGTCATCCTAAACTAGAAGGAATGTTTTTAGAAAGTCTCGGTATTCTCTTAAATCAAAAACTACTGACACAAACACTCCTTTTGGTTTAACGTATCTCCAAAGCAAACATGAAAGCATCTTGCGAAGCTGCAAAGAGAAAACATGCTCAAACAGTGTTTGAAGTAGCTCATAGTACGGAAATCCTTTCCATATGGATATTGTCATGCAGGCTGCTATTCATAACGACAGGGATCACCTGCTCCTCTTTCTGCCACATAGCATCCCAGTGATGATTCCAGTGATTGCTTACATGGAAAAAGGGGTAGGAAAGTACTTATGTATTTTTAGCTATCTTTTTAAAACACAGTTCAGCAGCTGGAGAAAGATAGGAGAAACCAACACCACATATGCAATCACTCATGGTGGAGATCAGAAAGTGCTACACAGACCTCGGTTTCTGAACTTCTGAGGTAAAACATAAGCTTAAACACCAGGGACAAATTCTGTGCTCATTTCTTCTGTGTAATTTCATTGAGGATTCCAGATTTGTGCCTGTGCTGCTGCAGGTGCATCAAAATCTCCTTCACCAAGGTCTGCTCTTTACTTTTTCTGCTGTATGCAACTTTTAACTGAATCATAGTTTGCTGGTTTTCTTGAAGAAAAAATTTTAAAAAAAAGAGAAAGAGAAAGAAAAAGAAAAAAGGAAAAGAGGGAAAAGGGAATGGAAAAGAAAAAAGGAAAAGAAAAAAGAAAAAGAAGAATAAAAATAAAAATAAAAATATAAAT